ATGAGTCATACATACTCGGAATCAGCGTCGAATTCTGAGTAAAACTGTATTCTCAGATCATTCAAATTCGCGAAAAAATGTTTTTCGAAAAATTTTACGGCAAAGGTCTCCTCAGGGACGTCGAAAAATATTTTTTCTCTAAGCTGGCAAAATGGCACTTTTTCTGACTCAAAATTGAATACTGATCACAAAAATCGCATTTACAGTTCATCAAATAGCTTCCCTGTGAAAGGGCAGCCGAAACGAAAAATGGGTCGAAAACCGGTTTTCTAGAGTTTTTGACTCTCAGCTGCCATGAGAAGGGCCTGTCATGGTCTGAATAACTTTGCCTATATGTAATTCACTGTGCTTTATCCAAATGTGTAAGAATCAGATTAATTTGGCAACACTTCGGCCCTGAAACCCAGAGTTGGAACCTGACCGGCCGGTTGACCGGTTATTGGTTCGGTCCAGTTGAACTTTTCAACCGGCCGGTTAATGCCGGTTTTTGCCGTTTTTTTTACCAGTTTGCCATAGGTCATGGTTATACCAAGGGAACTCTTAATCACTTTTCTCTATGAAACTGGAGAGGATCTCTAATCATTCATGCATCATTCGATGCGCTTTGAAAAGCTCCACAACATATGTTAATAGGAAATTTAACGAAGCTTGGCAGCGCTTTTTGTGTATTAAATACTTTGCCACTTAATCCCACAGCGAGTCCAAGAATTGTTCGCCATTTTTATTTTTCATTTTTTTCGTCGACCATAACAGCTAAAATAAATTTGAAAAAAGATTTGAACAGCTGAAAGAATTTCCAATTTCAGGTAGTGTATACAGAGGTTCCATCAAAACTTCTAAAATCGGGGTCGCTGTAACTCCAAATTTCAGAAAATCGAGACGTCTCCCAGCTCTTTACGACATTTATGCATGAAGCAGCATTCAAGTTATGGAAGGCCTCATAGCAGCAAAACTAACAGGAAAAATTGAACCTTTCTAATCTGAACACCTTCTTACTCTGAACAGTGCATGCTTTTTTGGTTCTTTTCAAGCAAATAACTTCTCTAATGCGAACAAATACAAAAGCTTTTTATGGAAGTGCAAGCTTTCGAAGCTTCGAAGCTTCATCATCAAGGCGTATCTTCTTTTACCCGTTATCCGTGGTGGTAAATCCTTGATACCAAACATAGCTTCCCCACCATTCACTCTCGTTTTGTTATCTACGATTGATTCCACTATGTTCTACTCGGACTTTTCTTCGAGAACACAGTGCAATCAAATTTTAATGCATTCGTCTAGAGTGACGAAGGCGGAGGCGGAAGCGGAAAATTACCCACAACCCCACCATAATTATTTTGTCGTAAAACTCGTAACATGTGTTATTGCTGAATTAAAACAATTATTTTCAAGTACGTGTTTCGTTCGAGGGTGTCCACATTATCCTCAATCGGAAGGGTGCGTAGAGCAAACCAGTTACATGTTGTATTTTATTATGTAAACTAAATGACATTTTTTCTCACGTTGAACATTTTCGTTGAAGTTCCAACTTATATCAACTCAGTTAAAATACCGTAAGTAATCTCTTAGTAATAAAAACTTTTAAAAAAATAATTAGAAAAGCAGAGAACGAATCAAATTCATAAGAAATAACACTAAAGAAAACAAATTCATTTACATATGGTGTTTAGAAACTTTCCATGTAAAGAGAAATAAGTAAAATGTTGATTATAATGCATAAAAATGAATTAAGCTGGAAAAAAATAATATGAACAAGTCAGAGTAACTGAGCAGTTTTTCGACTGTTTGTAACTTAATTATGAACTATTGAAAATTGAAGAACAAGAAAAAAACTTCATGCTTATAGATCACAGATTTAAGGAATATTAACTATTGAGCATTATTAATACATAAGTATAGCCTCGATTTATCCTAATTTAGTTTTCTCAGTTCGTCGCTTTTTTTTCTTTTTGATACATCAGTTTGACAGTTCTAAAATAACAATACCAAACTTCTCTATTACATAAAAGAAATATAATCATTAATGCCCTAGAATTATATAATTATAGAAAAAATATAGTCACTAATACACATACTATTTGCATGACATTGTTTTCACTATTCTATCACATTTGATAACTAATTCAACTTCAGTTAATAAATCCTTTTCAGAGTTACTAAATAATTGTGTTGATTTTTTTTTATCAATGTCATCGTATAATTTAATAATTTCCTACACTTTCGAATTTCAACTTTGGACTCCTTTGTTGGATGATGCTGGTTAAACATGTAATAACCCACCATTTTTCCAAATCTGAGACAATTAAATATTCAAGAAGATTCGATAATAATACATAAATTCGAAAAATATTTTTTTATATTCTTTATTATGTGATATTTTGAAATTGTCTTCCTTCTAAAATTTTCACTTCATAGAATATAAAATTTTCTGGTCCAGAAAAGTTTAATCAAAAAAAATATCAAGATTCAAAATATTTTAAAATTTAAAAAGATGAGTTTTTCTGAGTTAAAGACGTTTTTAGTCTATCTTACTTAATTTTGTTCCTCATTTCCCCAAGTACAACTGAAATTCTATTGATAGAAGAAAAATAATCAGTTTTTGAGTTCTGTCACATATTGCCTTAAGCAAAAACATTCATTTTCCCTCAAAGCAACAGTTTCATCGGTGAAAAAAATTTCATCTATCAAAGTTTTTATGCGCTCCGTCGAATGAAATGAAAAATAAAGATAAAACTTTTTGAGAATATGAAAGTATTTTCTTTTTTCGACGGTTACTTGTTTAAAAATGAAAGGTTGTCGTCATCTCTATTATTAACAGGAGTTAGTCGTTTAATTCACATTTTATATTTGTATAAAAGAGTTTCTAAAATTTCTTTACTATTTTCAAATACTTATCAACTAAAAACATAAGAAAAATTAATTCGAATGTTAAGGTAAGAGTCATTTCATTTCTCTACTCATTTATCGTTAAGCAATGTAAATAATTTATTTTTAAAGTTGCTTATAAACTATCGAATGATACATGTGACCAAATCTATATAACTTAATTATTGATTAGATAATCGTCTTGACTTTCGATTGATCAAAACCACAATAGAGATGGGTAAGTTCAAGTGCGAACTGATAGGTTTTTTCATACGGACTTAGACTAATTTCTTTCACAGTTATGACTGGTCTTTTCAGTTTAAATATGAAAAAAAAAAATGAAAAAAGAGCAAAGAAATTGAATTCACACTTTTCTCTTTTTTATGTTACTGCGTGGTCGGTTAGGATGAGCTATGATCCAAAAGACGGGTAGTATTTTTCGCTGATTGATTCGTTTCTTTGCACTAAATGCATGTCTGCCGAAAAACTCTTAGATGTGACCGCTAACGATCTAAACGAGGATATAAAGAAACAATATCATTCGATGAGAATACCAAAAAGAAGCATGTAATCACGTAAGTGAATCGAAAAAAATGGCAGTTAGGAACTGATCCTGGGCTGAACGTTTTCAAACTGTGATTAGATTTAGACTGAAAAATTTTAACTACTAGACGGACTGAAACTGATTCGGACTTAGCCTCTGGCGGACTGAGACCGAAAAAATAGCGGATTATCCAGCTTTGAACGGCAAGTCTCTATCTGTTCCTTACTAAACATTATTCTTTATTATTCAAAAAACATTCAAGTTTATTCTTTTCATTTTAATAACAATAGCGGTGTTTTTTTGAGTTTAAAAATTTCATAAAATAGAGAAAATTGTTAAAGATTTAGAAAGGTAAAGAGAGAACAATTTACAAAATTAAAAAATTAGTTTTTTTAACCATTTTTTTTTATTTAAATTAGAGGAAGCAGAGGTGGGCAAGTCCAAGTCCAGACTTGAAGGTTGTTTTGATGGACTTGAACCTGACTTGGATTTGGGGATTTTTTTTATCAAGTTCATTTGAAGTCCAAGGAGTTAAAATCTTTTACATTCAACAACGGATGGAGTATAATCTGATACCTCATTTATTAATCTTTTTTTTGTCAAACATGTCTCAATGTATGGATAAAATTTATTTACTCGTCATATCTGATTATGACGTACTGTATAGTACAGAAATACGAAGAACTTCGACTTAACTTGCACTTGACTTGGACGTGCCAAAAGAAATATCTGTTGGACTTGAAAATGGTCGGACTTGTCCACCTTTGAGAGGAAATTTACAATATTTAAAATCAGTATTTCATACTCTTTTTATGTCCCTATTTTGCAACTTTCGTCTATACTTTTGTGTTAACCCACATTGACTAAAATAAGAGCATATAGTTTTTGACTGTACCAGCTTAGCTATGTACCAAGTTAAAAACTGATGTAGGGACAGACATTCAAGAGAATTGTTATACATCGATTATCAAGATTTGCTCACAGCTGTGGAACGTCTCATTTTGTAGAAAAATATTTGTTCTACAAAGAAAATGCATTTGTTAAAAAAATTTCCATAGTTATTTTTAACAAAACTTAGAGCATTCTTAAATGCACCGAATTAGAAAAAAAAAATGTTAGTTTTCAAAAACTTCCAAAACAGATTTTTTTAAGTTGTGAAATAGGGACATAAAAAGAGTATGACATAGGGATTTCAAATATTTTAAAAACATATTGTAAACTTTCTCTGTTTAATGTTTTGAAAAGTGATGAATTATTTTTGTAAAATATTGTAGTTACTAATTTCTTCAAGTACGTGGATCAAGTATGTTCACTAGAAAAGATTTTAACAAAGTCGATTCAAATTTTATAGCAATTTCTGAGGAGAGAAAATTCTGATTTTTGGAACTCTTTCTAAATATGTTATCGCGGCATACTGCCAACGTTTGAGCAAAATACTGAAACATTGATGATCGATATCTCAATTATATAGATTTGATCATAACTATTATGAAATTTTTGCTTTTAAAAGATTTTCGAAAAATAGTTAATTTCTTTTAATTAGTTTTGATTTTATAATTTTAGATAATTTTTACATCATGAAAATGTGCGGACTATGAATGAACGAAACCGTATCAACAGTTTAAACGAAACTGTAAATGATTATTCATCATATTCATTCGATCGTTTGTCATTTGATAATTATGATGATATTGATGCACAACAATTCACAGCTGTATTTCAACAAATATTTTTAAAAATTATTAATGCAGTCAATGAAACACAACAACAATCATCATCATCATCATTATCAACGTTTGATTCAAATTTAGCTATCATCGCTTTTTTACCATCAACATTCAATAATACACTGTCTCCTCTATGGAGTAAAATATCACTTTGGTGTGTTCTAATTATCAATCCAATTTTGGTACGTTTATCAATGATAAATAGCTCGTTTTAATTATCTAAAACACTCTTGATAATATGTTTAAATTTTATTTTAGATCATATTTGGAGTACTTGGTAATATTTTTGCCACATATATTCTTATCCGATATAATATTGTCAAATTGCCTATCAATGTCTATACTGTTATGCTCAATATATCAGATACATTGAATCTATTAATACCAGTGTTTATATTTTGGCTCGATAATTGTATAAATCGTAAAGATGATAAAGGCTATTTTCGTGATAAATCTAATTTTTTGTGCAAAGTATTGATGTGTCCCGATCAAATGTTTGCTGCTTTGAGTGCATGGTGTATGTGTATAATTAGTTTTAACCGTTGGCGAAGTGTTTGTCGACCATCATCTTTTTATATGAACAATAATAATAATAATAATAATAATAATATTCATAAAAAAAAATCTTTTCGATATCTACTATTTTGTATTCTTCATCATCGAAATTTAAAAGCATTTCGAACTGTTGCTTTAATAACGTTGATATTGATATTATTATCATGTATTCCAATATTTTTTCATGAATTACGACCAGTTATACCGTCCGACATGCAAATGTTTGATTTAAATAGGGAAGTTGAACATACATACTTACTTATTTGGAAACGTTGTTATTATAGTTATCAACACGAACATATTTACAGTATTATTGGTATTATATTAACAATTATTTTACATATTATTCCTCTAGCATTTGTAGCTGGTGCTAATATAATGATTATAGCACGATTACATCATCGACAAATATTATCATCATCATCTGTATCTTATATTGTCAAAAATGTTATTAAAGAGAATACAGATGCCTCTAATGAACAAAAACCAAAATTAACAATTGATATACAACATTATGCATCGATTATTTCATTACCGTTACCAAGACGACAACAACAATTTTTACCTCCATTTCTTCGAAAACGTGCAACATTTTCTCACATAACTACAGGACATACAATAACCGACAAAAAATTGCCTAGTTCTAGTATTGATAATGGCAAATATATAATTAACAAACCACAAGAAAAACGTTTATCCAGTAGACATTGTTCTCGTGATCGTACAATAACTATAATGTTAGTATCACTTGCCATCTCTTATCTTGTTCTAACAGTGCCATATCGTCTATTATGGATTTGGAATGTATGGATTAAACATGCACATCCAGAATTGTTAAGTTCATCCAATTATGCATGGAAAATGCATTATATTGATCATTTTTTAAAAACAATACGAAATATACATTTTGCAACAAATTTTATATTTTTTATATTTTTATCGAAAACTTTTCGACAAAAATTTCGACAATTATTTATTAATCAATTTAAAAAGGTAGTTAATAATCAACAAACTAATAATAATAATACTGTTGTTTGTAAAAATCGTGCTGAACAACACCGTATTATAATAATTAATGAACAAAGTCCACTTATAAAATAGGTGATATAAAAATAGAATTTGTTCAGTGAAATATTCTTTAAATAAAAATGAAAGTTTTGAAACAAAACCTAAACGTATTTCTCCTTGTTTCTTATTTATTATTATCAATTGTATATTATTGTAACACATTGAATTATTTATTTTGATTCAAACAAAATTTATTTATGAATTATAATGGTTAACATTGATCTACGAACAATAATATATACAATGATTGATTTTGTTGATCTAGTTGAAGTCAATTTTATTGAATGAACTATCTAGTCTGCATCTGATGATTGTGGTTTTACTAAATTATTTACGTTTAGAGCGATTGAAATACTTTCAAGCAGAAGTCTATATTGCACCAAATGTCGCCAATATGATTTTATCAAGATATTTTGTTTCTTTTGACGCGTCTATCATACCGAAGTTACTATTTAAATAATTATCAAATTTTCATAGATTATTTTTCAACTCGTTAGTACTATTTTCGGCGTATTGCACACATCTTATAAAAATATTTCTTTTTCTTGTCACTATGACCATTAGCACATTATGTCAGAGTTATTATATCACTTACTTTTCTGGCGGAAGAACAAAATTGACTGTTGAAAACTCACTCGAAATCATACAAATGATTTGAATATATAATATAATAATTAATTCTATATATAAAAATAACTGGTTATATGACAAAAACCGTGAATAATTTTTGTCCTTAACATTTTTGTGGATTTTTTTTATTTATTTTGTGTTCATTACGATATAGAGTATGTGTGAAAGAGTGTATGCCAATGTTTTCCACTCATTCACATTGATTTTAAATATATTATTATTTTTTAAAAATAAATAAAAATTGCCAAAATTCGCAAATTTGTGTGAAACTAGATTTTCAATAGATTTTTGAGAGAAACGAACATTGCTACAAGACTCAGTACCATTAGAGGTGATGCTATTGAACTATGTAAAGAAAACAAATATGTTTGTACTTCAAGTTCGAGAAATCTAAAATAATTTTCTAAAGATCGTTTCGAATTCCCTTCCGTTGAGATAGAATTTAGAGTTTATTTTATGAAAAAATCAGCCTCGTCCTTAGCTGTCAAATGGTAAAAACTGTATGTCTGAATTACCTTTGTCTATACAGAAAGCAAAGCCGTTATATACTGCATCGAATATGATAAAAAATATCGCTCGTTCTAACGCCCCAATTTATGCTAAAAATTTGAGCTCGAAATGTTGCCGTGTTATTGCGTAACAACGGGCAAAATGGGGTTCTTAGCAAAAATGTATAGCCTTTGTTCAGCAGAAAGCTGCGTGCGGTCTTAAATAAAAATACACACCTGAATCTAAAATTTGATCCGCGGCGATTTTTGAATTTTGCTTCCGTTCATTCCCTACACGTATTTTAAGTCAGACCTCTGAACATAGGCCTCACTTGGCGGAGTATTTGTCACATATCTCTGCAAAGAAAACAAAAATCGCCATGGATGAAACTGTAGATAAATGTCTTAGCTTCAAAATAGAAAAAGAATGAAGGCTTTACGACGAATCGTCTAGGAATTGACACAAGTTTGCTGCGGCAAAACCATATTCTAAGCAATGACGTCATCATTTCATTAATTATAGTTCAGCGCCTTTAGCAAAACTAGT